CTTTTTGTATTTAAATGGTTCGTTATTGAGATGGTGGATATGGTATTGAAGTTGACCCAGTACAGAATGGTCATGGGTTGAAATTAATTAATTAAACTTTCGAGGAATTGGCATATTAGATCCTAATGTTACGCTCAAAGTCTTATAATTATTAATTTAATGGCGGCTTTGCATCGAAAATTTATTTTAAGGAGGCTGGCTGCGCTTAACTATATATTTATTTACAAAATTTATTTTAAGTGGTGTTAATTAAGTAATATAAAATTATTTATAAGATAAATATTATTATAATGTTGACAAATTTTAAATTGTATTGATCAAATGATTTTAAAATTCTACTCCAAAATAAATTATAATATATTTATTCTCTTGAGTTCGAAACCTAAATGGTATAAAATATTAACAAAAATTTTAAAATACTATATAAAATTTTATATTAACCAAAACGTCAAAATCGCTGGAACAACAACGATTTACTCCACTGAAAAAAGTTTTTTAAAATGAAAATCGCTGCCTAGGTAGCGATTTGAATTTCTTTTTTAAAAAAATCACATTTTGTAAAGCTTTTTCCGGTGGAGTAAATCGATGTCGTTCCAGCGATTTTACCATTTTGATTAATATAAAATTTTATATACCGTTTCAAAATTTTTATTAATATTTTATACCCTTTAGGCTCCGGACTCTCATTCTCTTTCCACACAAATCTAACGTAAATAGATGTCCATATATATATATATATATATATATTTTGGAGAAACATTTCAAATATAATGACCTTGATAATTGTAGTAGTGTTCATCCATAATATTGTTTTTTTTAGTGGCGGCTTTTGCTCAAACGAATCATTCAATTCATTTCTTATTTTTATTTTTTACAACTTGCAAACTTTATAACTTCCTATTAAGACCCATCCATAACTATTCCTTTTTTCTCATAAAAATCCAAAATGAAATCCTCCATTTTCGTTGCTTGTTTCATTACCTTCATTATATTTCACTCATCACAAGCTCAAACTCCTCGAGAGAATTTTCTCAACGCTCACAATGCAGCTCGTAGACGAGTTGGCGTTGGCCCTATGACATGGGACGATGGTCTAGCAGCCTATGCCCAAAATTACGCCAATCAAAGAGCTGATGACTGTGGAATGATCCACTCTGATGGCCCTTACGGCGAAAACCTAGCCGCTGCTTTTCCACAGCTAAACGCTGCTGGTGCTGTGAAGATGTGGGACGATGAGAAGCAATGGTACGATTATAATTCGAATACGTGTGCTCCAGGTAAAGTCTGTGGACATTATACTCAAGTGGTATGGCGTAAGTCGGTACGTCTAGGTTGTGCTAGGGTTCGATGCAACAGTGGGTGGGTTTTTATAACGTGCAATTATGATCCACCCGGTAATTATATAGGACAACGTCCCTACGGTGATCTTGAAGAACAAAAACCGGACTTTGATTCCAAGTTGGAGCTTCCAAATTAATTTCATGATCATCAAGTCGATCATCATCGATGAATAAAGCTTTAATTGTTAATTAAGGCCAGTGCTGTATCTTATCTTAGTTGATTAATCATCAGTTCATGTATGAGTGTTTTGTTATTATGATATTCTTATTTTAAGTATTCATGTTGGTACTTTGGGTCTCTATATATATTAAAAAGAAAATGATTTAGTTTGATTTGATACCAAGTTATTGAAGAAATTTTTTGAATCTTGTAATCTTTAATTGTCTTAATTAAAGTTATGTCATATATATATAATTATTTTTTAGTTTTATAATTTTAGACATACCACCAAAGAATTGAAATTAAAATATTATCAAAAAAAAAATCATTCTTTTTTAAACAGATTAAAAATAAAAATAAATCTTTTTTTTTAAAAAAAAACTGAGAGGGTATATTTTAGTCCTATCTCCCATGTTATGCCCACCGGGGTGATGCAGGGTTTGGCATTATATACATCTCTTGTCCCATATCTTGATAGATTATTATTTTTTACTCGATCTTCGATACTCATATGATTTTAATTTTAGTCCGGAGACATTGGGTCAAAAATATCCAAACAGAAAATAACGAATTATTTACCAAACTAAGTCATTATATAAAATAATTTACCAAAATAATATATTTTTTCAAAATTTTACAAAATTAGTATAAACGTATTTCACAGTAACGTATATCAATCTGACGCCATCAGCTTTTAAAAAATAAAATATACTCTAAAACGTAACTGTGAAATACGTTTATATTAGTTTTGTAAAATTTTAAAAAAACATATTATTTTGATAAATTACTTTATATAATGGCTTAGTTTGGTTAATGTTTTGAAAATAACAACAAAATGCAAGAACCTTATATTTTAATGTGCTAGTTTAGCCGCCGGACAAACATTTGATGGATTTTGAATTGGGGCCAAAAAAGAACTCAGGATATATATATATTATTAAACGAATATTAGAGATGGTGGCGTCTTTGTAGAAGTCAACCCATTACATAGTGGTTCTGAGTAGAGATTAGTTAATGAAATCGGAAATCTTCTTTTGAAGAGTCTGGCTGTGCTTAACTTATATATACTTTCTCCATTAATTTTTATTTGTTATATGTAAATTTGATCTCGTCAATAAAAAGTAATGATAGAACTATTTTATCATATTATTGTTATTTGATTGATGTATAGTATTTAGTGAAAACAATTTGGAGAACAACTAATTATTCATGCTAAGATAAAATATGTAAAAAGAAAAAAAAAATTGATACATTAAAAGTGACAACTAACTAAGTAAAAATAAATTTATTTTTAAAATAATGGATAAGTAAAAGTGAACAAATCGAATATACATATTTATCGTTTTGAACGGCAAGATAACTTGCCATCACTATAACTTCTGCCACAACTTTCTGTCCTTGGGAGAGCACTCTTTGGGTAGCATTTTGTGCACATTAAATAAATCTCCACGGTATAAATACCATGCAAATATATATAAACCGCATAATGTAAGCTCTATATGATAGACTCGACTTAGAAAATATTGAGAGATCATTTAAACAAGATAAAAAACAAATTAAATTGCTCGAATATTGTTTACTAGTATATATACTATGGTTGAAATTTCTTTTTCAGAAGGTAGAACAAAATTTAATTGTCCAATCAATTATATATTCTCACTAAATCCAGCCTCTCATCTTCTTTTCATTGATTATATAGTACTCCTAGTAACGTATAATAGAAATGGTAATTAGGGAGTTCAATATATATAGTGAAACATCGAAGTAAGGAAATGTTACGTTATAGATATTCATCAAAATTAACGACGATTTCTTTACTATATTTATTTATTGATTGGTTTTCAAAATTGGCTAATAATTGTGCCAATTAAAAGCTAGTAACCATTCAATTAATAATTCTTTTACAACCTACAAACTTTAAACTCAACATTCTTATTTCTTCCCTATTAAAACCCATCCATGTTCTCATTTAAACTCAAAAATGAAATACTCCATTTGGATTGCTTGTTTAATTATCTTTGCTATATTTCATTCTTCACAAGGTCAAAACTGTCCCAAAATTTATCTTATTCCTCATAATGAAGCACGTAGACAAGTTGGAGTCGGACATATGACATGAAATATGTGGACACTATAGTCAAATTGTTTGGCGTAATTCGGTACGTGTTGGTTGTGCTAAGGTTCAATGCAATAACGGGTGGTATTTTATAACTTGCAATTATGATCCATCGGGTAATTATATTGGACAACGTCCTTATGATGATCCACAGGGTAATTTTATTCCATGAGCAATATTTTTATCGATTTTTCCTAGAAATTAATCTAGTTTGATCAATTAAGGAAAAAAAATCTTTAATGGATAATGGATAGACCAAGAAAAAACCATATGAATCCCATTATTATAAAAAATAATAATTGTTTTAATGGGTCAAAGTACTATATAGTTGTCACATCCTAAAGCTTTTATTTATTTATTTATTATTATTAGTATTATTATTAAATGGCGGCTTTTATGTTTCTGATATAAAGTAGTTGCAAAATCACTTTACGGAGGCTGCTCTTAACAACATGTAGTTGTTTTAAGGTTTAACAATGTCGAAACTTATCATAAAATATGACTTAGGTCACATTCCTTTCCCAATTCATGTGATATTATAGTTTAAAATAAATTATAAATATGGTGTGATCATGCATTATCTCATTAAAAATAAATAATTGTTTCAAAATTAATATAAAATATATAATTATCTTTTTATATTGATTTAAAAAAGAAAGTATGAGACAGGCAAGTGAAATATTCTGTTCCATCTAACCTTTAACAAAAAAAGAAAAAAAACACGAGAAGAAATTGACGACATCTATATATAGCAGATAATAAGATATAGTAATGATTTAATCGACCGGAAAAAAGAAGTTAGTTTAAGCAATAATCGTTTCGTAATTCGATAAGAAACAAATCACATGTATGGTTGGAAGACATAAAATAAGTTATCCACGTATAATATTAATATAAGCGATTGACAATTTAAAAATTTGCATAATAACTAATACATATCTAAATTATGAAGGAATTTATATATATATATATATATATATTTATTTTAGGAATTGAGCAGATGAAACAATTAAGTCTAACTCACACCCTATATCTTGAAGAGAGGAGAACTGCCAAGCCTTATAGTCAGTGCACCGATCTCATTAATAATTAATATACGTAGAATTTTTAACTTTTTTAATATCTATATAATTAATCTTCGCATAACTTATACCAACATAAATAACATATAGATTTACTCATAATTAACCTGATTAATCAATCGCCAATCCAACGAACCTAAATGGTTTTTCATCAAGAATAACGAGTGGCGGCTCTTATCATTTAAGCGAATAGTTGTATGATGTGACATGTCATTCTCTGACTTTCTCAACCTAATCTTATATACAATTTTTTTTTCAAATAATCCGATAGAGTCTGCTAACAAGTTAGCACATTTCAACTCTTTTATATATTTCACAAAATTGTAGACTATTCAACTCCTATACCCTATTTAAACCAATCCAAACTAATCCTTAATTCTCACCAAAAACCCAATAATGGGATACTCCAATATTGCTTTAATCATTTGTTTCCTTACCTTTGCTATATTTCACTCATCACAAGCTCAAAACTCCCCTCAAGATTATCTTAACGCTCACAATGCAGCTCGTAGACAAGTTGGAGTCGGTCCTATGACATGGGACAATAGGCTAGCGGCCTTTGCCCAAAATTACGCCAATCAAAGAGCTGGGGACTGCAGGATGCAACACTCTGGTGGACCTTACGGTGAAAACCTAGCTGCCGCTTTCCCCCAGCTCAACGCGGCTGGTGCTGTGAAGATGTGGGTTGATGAGAAGCAATGGTACAATTATAACTCGAATACTTGTCAAGCTGGTAAAGTATGTGGACACTATACTCAGGTGGTGTGGCGTAACTCGGTACGTCTTGGTTGTGCTAGGGTCAGGTGCAACAACGGGTGGTACTTTATAACTTGTAATTATGATCCACCAGGTAACTGGAGAGGACAACGTCCATATGGTGATCTTGAAAATCAACCGGCTTTTGATTCCAAGTTGGAACTTCCAACTGATGTCTAATTATAAGTTACATGATCAAAAACATGAATGAATAAAGTGATCGATTGTCGAGGAAAATAAAATCCAGGCTATGCTTATGTGACTTGGGAAATATGTACTCTAAACTTATATATTTTGTTGCTATGTGTATCACAATTCACAGTGTATTTTACAGTTTTTTTGTGGGCTTTATTGGATGTGTGTATGTTGCAGCTTATTATATTGGACAACTTTCACATATAGCAAATGAAAAATTCATCAATAGCAAAGTTTGCATAATTGCGCTTCATAGCAAACATAGAAACTGTATAATTCGCTATACATATACAGTTAAAACAAATTGTATAAAACAAAGTGTATAAAACAAGAAAGAGAAAGACACTTGGGCAGAGAACTGTATAAAAGCGAAGTGTATAAAATGAATTGTATTATTATAAGTGTATAGAACGATTATATACGATTTGAATTTGTATAAAATGAGAAAGAGAGAAAGACAAAAGAGACTTGACAAGGAATATACAATTGAATCGAATTGTATAAAACGAGAAAGAGAGAAATTAGATACAATTTGAAAATTGTATAAAACGAGAAAGAGAGAAAGACAAAAGAAACTAGGCAGTGAAGTATTTTTATTGTATAATTATAAGAGTATAGGACGAAAATATATATACTTGCACCTGTATATACAATTTTGCTTATGTTTGTATAAGTGAGAAAAGCAAAGGTCCATATATCCTCTTAATTTGAGTACTAAAATCTTTGAAATTGTCAATGTAACTAAGGTTTGAAACGATCTTTGAAATTTTTAATGTAATTGGATAATATTAAAAAAGAAACAAAATAAAACTATTAATCAATTTGCTAGTGGTGGATAATATATAATACAGTTGTATCTATAACTATACATAAAAACAGACAAGATGTATGATACATCGAAGGGTGTAATTAATCGAGTAAAGACCAGTTCATATTCATTTGTCTTAACTTAAGCAATACGTGATTGCTTCTTTTGGTAAAGGCGTTATTATATATATAACCCAAGTAATTATCTAGTTGCTTTATATTCCATTTATTTATGAGTTTAACTTGCTAGTATACATTCATGAAAACTTAATAATTACGATCAAGTTATCAGCAATTAGTCAATGGTTACCATAAAAATAATTTCTAGCGGCAATAAATATATATATTAATAAAAAGTGAATTATTATTAATTAGATCCACTATCGCTATATATGAGCTTTAAGAATACTTATAAAGAGTGTTAATTGTTGCTAAAACTACATATTTAGCAACATTTAAGCTATTACCATTAATTTATTGTCACTATAAATTATTTTTGATATAGTGAATAAGCACCTTTTTATGGCGAGTACAAAGTATAAACTGATCGATAACCTGCAAAATATGGTAAATTACCTATTACAACATGTAAAATTATACGAATAGTGTATAAATCTTTTGCATTTTTTATACATATAATTTATATCTTTTTTTTTAAATAAGGAAAAGTTATTCAAATATACATGTTATTTCATCATAGTCTCTAAAATTTCTTATTATTTTAAAAAAATTCGAAAACGGATACATCACTTTCCTCTCGCTAATAAATCTTTATCTCTCTCTGATACATCCCTACCCTTTCGAATACATCCCATTCCTATGTATCCAGCTGAGATGATATATTCCTTCCCTATGTATTCGGATCTTCTATCCCCTCTCTGATAAATCTCTCCCCTATGTATTCTAATGTCTAGTAATGTATCTAGAAGTTCAGTGATGTGTCCGAAAATCCATAAATTTTAATGCATATTTTTAATTTGAAAAAGAATATGAAAATATTATAATTAACTCTTATCACTTTGAGATTTAGGTAATAAATTATACAAAATAAATAGCTACTAGTACTATACGAATATCTTAAGGTTAAAGCATTTTCAAGGGAGATGCATAAGGAGTTGCTTGAAAACGCTAAATTTGTTTTTACTTTACACATGCAATTCCTAATTTCATGAAGCAAAATACTCACATTTTCACCTATAAATATCCAACCTATCCAATTCCATTCTTATCAATCTCTTCAAATTAAAAATGGCATTATTCAAAGCTTCTAATGTTGTAATTTGTTTCATAATTTTGGCATTTGTTTTACCTTATTATTGTGATGCCCAAAATTCCCAAACAGACTATCTCAACACTCACAATTCAGCTCGATCTCAATTAATCCTCTAACTACAATTAATCAATCAACCAACTAAGGCACACTAACACATTTATTGAGCTCCTTTACACTAACTAATTGTGTTGACTAACATCAAGTTTTATAATCAAATAAGAAAACTAGTAGTATATGAATAATAAGAGACATGCTTTAATTTATAGAGGCTAGTATCATGATCTCTATAGTTACCTATAAGTTACGAGAAATATTTTCTTGTACATATTATGTGAGTTTGACATATTTGATCCTCCCGTTAAAGGATGACCAGTTGAATCAAAAACTATTTTTTGATTTTACATTTCAAATTATATATATTTGAGCTGTTTCCGCTCCGACCGATTGAGGGAGCATACTTTCTGAAACTGAAGCGACTATCCCACTCATGGCGAGTTGATCTTGACGTACCCAAACCTTATATGCAGGATTTGGTTTATCACCGTCCAAAACACGTGGTGGTGCTGGTTCGCTACCATCAATATCAATATAGTGGTTAAGACCACAACCGCATATCATGGGAAGAAATTGTGTCTTCCAAAGCAAAAAATTTGTTGACGTAAAGCGCTTTACTGGCAACTGATGAGCGAGATTAGGTGTAGGATAGTAGTTTCCCATGGCATTTGTTGAAACAACTGAAGTTGCCACGGTAGAAGAGCTCTCAACGGTATCTCCCATTCGAAAAGTAGTTTCTGATTATCCAAAACAACTGTTATTTTTTGAAGAAAAAAAGAGAGAGAATGGTCGTTAAACAACAAAAGGCTCAGATACCATGTAAGAGATATTCATAATTCATACATAAAATATGTACAGCAATATGAATATATAGGTAGACTAACATAGATAAAATATATGTACATAAATTTATCTCAGATACCATGTAAGAGATGTTCATTCAATTCATACATAAAATTGTCGTGATACCATGTGAAATTGCCTAACTCACACCCCAAAAGCTAGCTCAAAGGGAGGAGGATTGTGTTTGGACTGGAAATAAGCAGGTGTAAATGCAGAAGCTAGCAAAGCAAACCTCGAAAGACAACGAGTAAAAAGACAACGAGAAATATATCAAAAGATACAAAGATTTAACGTGATTCGGTCAATCGACCTACGTCCACAAAGGAGATGAGCAATCCAATATAAATATGAGAGTACAAAATACAGAGGAAAACAACCTCAACCAATTCACTCGGACCCACAAATTGTCCCCCTAACCAAAACTCTCAAAGCCCTTTAAGACTACATTGTGAATGCTGATTAAATTAGAAGGAACATTCCTTTATTTATAGAGCCCTAAACCTTTTCCTACGAAAAAAATGATTAGTCAATCCAAAACATTTTTCTAAAAGGAAAACCTATTTATGGTAAGAAATCGGGGCAAATAAAACCCAACAGATTGTCCAATCCTTATAAGGAGTCCACTCATCTCATTAACCACCAACATGGGACTTTTGTCATTTTTTAACTTTTATAACTTTGCAATAATGATCCACGTGGTAATATGAGCGGTCAACGTCCATTCCTTGTTGAAGAGCAACCAGACTTTGATTCCAATTTGGAACTTCCAACTGATGTCTCAATAAATTAAGCTTCATGTTTTAAATAACGAAAATTAAATAAATCCAGTAGTACTATGATATGCATGCTTGAGTTTATATGAAAATAAATATATATGGATCATTTAATTAGTTGCTTCTTCATTGAATTTATTTATTTGTCCGTCCCATATTATTTGACCCATAATTCCCTTTCGAAGGTCTCCTTAAAAATTCAATCGATAACAACTTTTTAAAAATAATTTAGTTTTATCTTTCTTCAATGAGCATACACCCTATTTTAAGAGAATAACATCACTAAGCTTGTTTGATATATCTTCAAATATGAAATTTCTATGATACGTATTAGTATTGGTTTAACTCTTAATATAAGGTGCAAAATGGGATAAATTAAAAGCAATTCAATTTTAATTTTATAAAACTATATATAAGTACCCCTACAATTCATTTTACTTATCATGTTTTTGTTTTAGATGCATTTTAAAAAAAATATTTATGATGTTTTTCTTTTGAATGTGCCTCGAAAAGAAATTAACTAAAAAGCCAAATTGACTAATACTATTACTCTCTTTACCCCACATAAATCTCTCTACTTATTTTTTTTTCTAAATAAAGGTTAAAAAAACTAATAATTAATTAATTCTTAAATTTCTAAAATGCCAAGAATTACTTTGGACCAATTATGTTTAGTAATAGCAACAATACATAAAAGAAAATCATTTACATATACATAGAACATAATATTTTGACAAAAGTCCATCTTTTTTTTACCATGATATAGTAAGAATTATCGTGTTACAATCCAATTTTTTCGTGGCAGGATCATTTACATCATGCATGATGCATGTATATGTCTATTTGTTTGACATTCTAACTAATGGAATGGGATAATATTTTTTTTAAAAAAAAAAGTAAAACCACTAATCAATTTGCTAGTGGTTGTGATATCGGATAATACATGGATGATTGTAGTAAATCGAGTAGAGGCAAATTCAAATTTATTTGTCTAATAAATCTAAAGAGCTAAACTTAAGCAATACGTGATTACTTCTTTTGGTAAAGGGGTTATGATACACAAATAATTGATTATCGCAATACATGCATTGTGCCCTAGCTGCTACTTGCAACATATTCCTTTTACTATAAGATTATAATAAAAAATAAAATTTGCATAGGATCAGGGTTGGGGACAATGATTATTTTTCAAAGTTGAGAGGAGAGTTTGATTTTTAAATCGTTGGGGGTTGTAAATAATATTTACTTTTTCTGTTTCATATTACTTGTCTCATGTTGACTTGACACACCCTTGAAAAAACTCAAGCTAGTTGTATATTTTACTAAATTAAACTTATTATTTGTGAGCTGATTTGAAACTCTAAATTTGAGTATTACTACTTATATCATTTACATTGTCTATGTATATAATGTTTAAATTACTTAATTAAAAA